GCTGTGAGCTAGGCTGATGCCAGTGCACTGTAGCTGGGGCAACAGAGTGAGACTCTGTCTCAAAAAAATAAAATAAAATAAACTTATTATCTCCTTCATTGTGGAGAAAGATACAGTAGAATTGTATCTTCATTTAGTCAGACACTTCCAAGATAGATACCAAAGCCATATATTGGTTAAAAAGTTTGTATTCTTTGCTTGTTGTAGCGAAGCAGGCTGGCTATCTTCTGGACAGTGGCTACTTAAAGTGGCTTGGAAAGTTTCCCAATCTTTAATCACATAAAATTCTTCCTTTCCTTCCTCCTTTTGCTTCACACAAGATAACAGACTTTTGTAGAACATGTGGCAGGGTTATCTTTCTGAGGCAGAAGGATTGCTTGAGCCCAGGAGTTTGAGGTTGCTGTGAGCTAGGCTGACACCAAGGCACTCTGGCCCAGGCAACAGAGTGAGAAGCTGTCTCAAAAAAAGGAAAAAAAAAAAACAAAAACAGAAAACAAAACAATGGATTTGTTTGTTGTTGTTGCTCTAGTAAAAAAAAAAAAAAACATGGGCCCTTTGCAGGTAAGTTGGGATTTAAGACAAGGCCACCAGTATTCGTTAAATACTTTCTATGCACTCATCTCATGCTAAGTGCCATGGAGGGTAAGAAGTGCTTCCAAGTCAATTTAGCCAACATTTATTTAGCACTAACTATACCCTAAGGTTACCTGGTGGTGAAGTAATATTGTTTCACTCAGTCTATCAGTTAATCACTGAGTTGGCATCTGGAGAGAAACAAGGAGCTAATGGAAAAGTGATAGTAAAGAGAAAATGTAACATTTAATGAGGATCCTGCCTAGCACTCTGGGAGGCCAAAGCCAGAGGATCGCTCAAGGTCAGGAGTTCGAAACCACCCTGAGCAAGAGTGAGACCCAGTCTCTAGTAAAAATAGAAAGAAATTAATTGGCCCGGCCAGTGTGGTGGCTCACACCTATAGTCCTAGCACTCTGGGAGGCCGAGGCGGGCGAATTGCTTGAGGTCAGGAGTTGGAAACCAGCCTGAGCAAGAGTGAGACCCCGTCTCTACTAAAAATAGAAAAAAATTAGCCAGGCATGGTGGCACATGCCTGTAGTTCCAGCTACTTGGGAGGCTGAGGCAGGAGGATTGCTTGAGCCCAGGAGTTTGAGGTTGCTGTGAGCTAGGCTGATGCCACTGCACTCTAGCCTGGGCAATAGAGTGAGACTCTGTCTTAAAAAAAAATGACAACCCCCAAGAGTAGTTTACTATCAAAAATGGTAGTAAAGAGAAAATGTAACCTTTAATGACCATTCAAAAGAGTAAGTAGAAAGAAAGTGGCAAAGGGGAAAATCTAGAAGATCCACGAGGAGGGATGGGATTCAAGGTTACTTTTGGGCAGTGTGAGACCCATTTATCCAACTGCCTGTTGGCCAGAGTCCTTCCCACTCAGCAGACCCACATCCCCTCTCTCCTGGTTTACATCAGCAATACCCTCCTAATTTGTCTCCCTACTTCCTGTTTCTCCCTCCTGTAATACAGTCTCCAGACTACAGCCACAGTAATCTCATTAAAATGAAATCTGATTACCTTGCTCCACCTCTTAAAAAGGCTCCCCTATCCAGTGCCCTCCAGTTGATCTAGTCAGAAGGTCCTCTGTGTCCTTCTCCAGCTTATTCCTTGTCCTCTCTGTCCTCACTCTATACTACAGCCATACTAACCCCCTCAATTAGCCATCTCCACCCCTTCCTCTCTCTTCTGGTCCCTGGAAGTGCTACCCCTCCCCTACTCAACTCTCCCAGTCACCCACATTCACAGGCACTCATTGAGATGTACATTTCCTTCTTTTTTTTTTTTTCTTTTTTCAATCTTTTTCTTTCTATTTTTTAAAATGGAGACTCGGGGAGGGTCTTGCTCTTGCTGAGGCTGGTCTGGAACTCCTGAGCTCAAGTGATCCTCCTGCCTCAGCCTCCCAGAGTACTAGAATTGCAGGCATGAGCCACCATGCCCAGCTCGCATTTCCTTCTTGAGAGGAAAGTGGAGAGAGACAGCTATTTTGGAGCCTGCTCAGTTCTGCTCTAGACTGGGGGAGTGTAGGGAAGGGTCCTGTAGTCATTCTCTCTGGATCTGAGACAGAGAAAGACAGTGCCTGCTTCTACAGGGAGGGGAATTTCTCTTGGCTCCGTCTGAGGGTATAGGTTCTGCTTGCTGAGTCTGGTATTTAACTCCTATTTGCTAACCTGGCCAATTCCCAACTATCTCCAGAGTCAGTAATTTATATAACTCATTCTGAAGGCACATGGACATGACTTTTGCTTTGCTTGTTATTATTTGGCTGGGAAAAACCAAGAACAAATACTCTTGTCCTACTGAGCATTATTCTCCACTAATATTAATAATTCAGAGCTGGTTCCAAAACTCCTTGGGGGATTTTACCCATGACCTGAGCATCATTTACTACAACCTGCCTGACATATACCATAATTCACCACAGTCAGGTAATTGTAACTATGAAGAAGAAAATTGACAATTGTCCATAAATTCCACCACCTGCCCCAAGATAGCCTGATAACATTTGAGCATATTTCCTCCCAGTTATTTCCTCTCCATATATATATATATATATATATTCTTTTTTTTTTTTTTTTTTTTTGAGACAGAGTCTCACTTTGTTGCCCAGGCTAGAGTGAGTGCCGTGGCGTCAGCCTAGCTCACAGCTACCTCAATCTCCTGGCTCAAGTGATCCTCCTGCCTCAGCCTCCCAAGTAGCTGGGACTACAGGCATGCGCCACCATGCCCGGCTAATTTTTTGTATATATATTTTTTAGTTGGTCAATTAATTTCTTTCTATTTTTTTAGTAGAGATGAAGTCTTGCTCAGGCTGGTTTCGAACTCCTGACCTCGAGCAATCCGCCCGCCTTGGCCTCCCAGAGTGCTAGGATTACAGGTGTGAGCCACCACGCCCGGCCTCATATATATTTTTTAATAGTTCATTTTGTGATCTTGGGCCTTCTTTTCCCATTGTACTTTCTTCTTTAATGGTTTTATCCATTCTGCTGGCTTTTATTATAATACTATATCTAAGGTGACAATTTAGCACAAATCCCTGCTCTGAGCATCAGATTTTTCTGCCCCCACATCCCAAACTTGCTCCTCTGCAAACATTTTGGTAAATGGCCATCACCATCTGTTCTACTAATACCAGATACTTGGAGTCATCCATAATGATCTCCCCTCGTCTCCCATTTCCTCAATTCCTCTCCAGCCATTGTTCATCTGTCTTAGTCCATTCCTGCTCCTATCACAAAATACCAAAAGCTGAGTGGTTTATAAACAACAGAAATTTATTGCTCACATTTCTGGAGGCTGGAAATCCAAGATCAAGACACTGGCAGATTCAGTATCTGGTGAAGGCCCATCGTGACCAGCAATTTCTTGGTTCATAGACTGTACCTCCTCACTGTGTCCTCACATGATGGATGGGGTCTCTTTTATAAGGGTGCTAATCCCATTCATAAGGGCTCTACTCCCGCGACCTAATTTCCTCCCAAAGGCCCCACCTCCTAAAACTATCACCTTAGGGTCTAGGATTTTGAAGTAGGAATTTGGGGGAGGACATAAACATTCAATCACAGCACCATCTGATTCATTACTAATCCTGTCCACACTATGATCATATGCATCTGGCACTTGTTCTTTCCTCCCCATGTCCACTGCCACCACCCTAATTCAAGCTACCATCCTTTCCTCTCTCCCTGCTCTGCTCTCCCAGCCCTATCAGTGTTCCTGCTTCCATAATTATCCCCCTACAATCTTTTAATGGACTCAAAAGGTCCCACCTACCTTACCTCTCTCATTTCATGCCCCTTAAATTCCTGTCACCCTGGCCCTCTTTCTGCCCCTCTATAGATGTCAAGCTTTTCTCCTCTACTTTGTACTTAGTGTCCTATTCTTTTCCTGAAAGGCTTTTCCCTCAGCTGTTCCCACTGCTGGTTTCTTCTCTCCCTTCAGCTCTACTCTCCAAAGTGACCACTGTAGATAGACCTTCCCTAACGTCTAAATCAAATTTGGTCTCCCTGATACTGTCCATTGAAGCACCTAGTTTACTTCCCTCCTGGAGGTAATCACAACATGACTTATTTTATTTGCTAATTGTATCTAGTTTCTTTAATTGTTAAAGAAATTAAAGTTAAAAATTTTTTTTTGTAATTTTCCCCCCAACCTGTAGCATGAGCAGATAAAATACAGAATACCCAGTTAAATTTGAATTTCAGATAAACAACGAATAAATCTTTTGTATATGAGATTTGGGACATACTTATACTAAAAAAAGTATTTGTTATCTGAAATTCAAACTTAAATGAGCGTCCTGTATTTTAATTTGCTAAATCTGGCAGCCTTACCCACGAAGCGCCTTATCCTTGTCTTGCTTGTCCTAAGTAGTATCTTGTGGCCTGCCATTTAGTAGGTGCTCAGTAATTGTTCTAGATGAACTATCTGCATGATGTTTTGTACGTTTTTTTCTCACTTGACATTTTCATGTCAGAATTTCCTCCACCCACTAAAAATTTTTGTTAAAGAAAATTCTGGAAAAATATATCGTTATTATCTAAACTTCTTTGTTTTCCATTGCTGCAAAATTAGCATAAAAGTATCTACCTTCATCACGTTGGTTTGAGAATTAAAAGAGTTAATGGAAAAGTAAAAGTAAAGTTTTGCACCGAAAGCCTAGCCCACTAGAATGAATTCTCAATAAATTTCAGTTCTTTATTAAACGAAGCCTGTGCACCATTTTAGCGGAAAGCAAAAAAGCGCGTTTGTAAAGAACGGGTGGGGGTAGGGAGAACGGTTAGAAATGGGCGCCGACCAGAACGCTGACGGCCCGGGAAAGAGGGAGGAGCTAAGAGTGAATGACAGAGAAGACAGCCAATGGGGAGACTGGGAACAACTCCCCCTCCCTTCGCGTTTCAAATTCTAAGCTCCGTTTCCATCCGGGTCCTTCAGCCTCGTTCCCGGGCAGTATAAAGTTTGCTGTCTCCTTTGTTCGCCCTCGTTGCGCAGTAGTGCTAGCGGCTTCTGTGTTCCGTCCTTGGGCCCGGCAGCCGCCGCTCGTGCTGAGCTGCTAGGAATCTCTGTCAGCGAGCTCGTAGGAGCTTGAAACCATCGTCGCGCCTCCGGTACGTGTGTTCTTGCCTCAGTCCGTTTTCCGTACACTCTGAACGTTAGGACTAGGGATTATCTCCCTGGAGATGGGGGTGGCGGGCGCCATTTTAAGAACCCAAAGGGGCCGACCTATTTAAATAAAGCTGAGAGGGCCGAAGGCAAACAGACTTGGAGGTCTGTTAGGTTGTATGCCTCTCGAGAAAGTTTGGCTGTAGCTTGCGGGAGTGGTGGCAGAGGTCGGGGCTTTGTAGACTGGAGCGGTATGAGGAGCGACCGCGCCACCGCGTTACCTGCATTGGGTTGGCGCTGGCGCTAATGATGGGCAAGTGGACTTTTATGCAGGCTGCGGGCTCCTACTTCATTGGTGGCCCTGCAAAGGACGCTCTTTGAATTTTCCCAGCTAGTGTTGGCGGTGGAAGTTAGTCCCCTGACCGGTGTCCGTGGTTCTGGGCTGAATCCAAGAGTCGCCATTTTGTCTTTTACACGCGGTTTTTAATGACGAGTTTTAATTAGGTTCCACTGCAGTCATGGAGTGTTGAGTGTTTGAGTATGCGCGTCCACGTTCCACTATTTGGGTAGGAAACGAAGTTGACACTTTGTTTTTATTTTTTTAGTCAGATAGTAACATTTTCGGTGGGGCGGCGGCTAGTGAGGAGGAGGAGGAGGCATAAGTTGGCTCAAACTGAAGATTTCTGCTTAGATTGACTAGAGAATCCTAATGAGGAAAAGAGAGTTTGGTCGAGCATTTGGGCCAGTAACCTTGAGTGGGTTGGTCGCCTTTTAAAACCCCAGTGTTGGGGATGTGGATAAGATTTGCATCTTTAAAAGGCAACAAAAACAGAGGATTAAGACTAAAGTTTGCTTTTTCAAATGTTGAGTAGGTGCTAATTGATGAAGACCACCTAAGGGGGATTAGGGTTAATGATAAAAGCTAAGTTGGCTCTTTTAACTAGTTTAATGTAAATTGTGCTGTCACTAAACTACTTAATTTACATTGGTTTCCTACTGTGGCTGACTTTAGGAATGTTTATTATGGGTGTCTTTAGGTATTAAGAAATAATGGTTTAAGCTTTTTATGTGAAAAGTAAAATACAAGAAAAAATTGATAAATAAGCAATATTAATAAATTAAAAACAAAAATAGTTATGGGTGAAATGAAAAAATGCACACAAGTAAATGTGTCTGATAAACTTGAGGAATTTTTTTCCAGGGAGGTAATACTGTTTTCTTTTCAGTAGACTCACCGGGGAAAAAAATGGTTGAAGCAGATCGCCCAGGAAAGCTCTTCATTGGTGGGCTTAATACAGAAACAAATGAGAAAGCCCTTGAAGCGGTATTTGGCAAATATGGACGAATAGTGGAAGGTGCGTTATCTGAAAGTATAGGTGGATATTATAATTAAAAGATAAGCTATGATGAATTTGATTGCACTGATCATATGATATGATAACGTATTGTCCTCTAAGAAGTTCTGAGCTTTCTCTTTACAGATCTGCTTGGGCTATTTCAATTGAACTAGAGTAATGCTTTTTTATCTTTTTACACTACTTTTTAGTACTCTTAATGAAAGACAGAGAAACCAACAAATCAAGAGGATTTGCTTTTGTCACCTTTGAAAGCCCAGCAGATGCTAAGGATGCAGCCCGAGACATGAATGGAAAGGTGAGATTGCACGATGAATGATACTGTGTTTTCTAGTGCATAAAATGGCACATGTTGCCCAACTCTAGAGTAGGGCAGCTCTTGAATTTTTATTTTATCTTGGCGTCCATAAACCATAATTTGATAACTTGGTTTTTATCTTTGGTTATTAGTTTTTATAACAAGTTGATATCTTCCTGGCCCTATTTTAAATTTTACTGAACAGCAGTGCAGTGGATCCACCTTACTGTTTTTTTTTTTCTTTCTTTCTTTTTTTTTTTTAGAGATGGGGTCTTGCTCTTGCTCAGGCTGATCTCGAACTCCTGAGCTCAAGCCATCAATCCTCCTGCCTTGCCTCTCAGAGTGCTAAGATTATAGGTGTGAGCCACCCTACCTGTCCCCACCTTAATGTTTTTATTCAGATCATCAATATCATAATTAAAGGTTAAGATTTAAAGTAAATGGAAAAGCCTTATTTATACAAACTATTATTAGCAATTTTTTGGCTAATTGGTGAGCAACATTTACCTCTGATTGTATTTTGAAGGACCTATTTGTGTCATCGTGCATAGTTGATCTACAAGTTCTTTTAAAATCTTGACATAATTTAACCATCTGTATTTTTATTCTTTTTAGTCTTTAGATGGAAAAGCCATCAAAGTGGAACAAGCCACCAAACCATCATTTGAAAGTGGTAGACGTGGACCACTCCACCTCCAAGAAGCAGAGCCCTCCAGAGGTCTTAGGGGTGGAAGAGGAGGAAGTGGAGGAACCAGGGGACCTCCCTCACGGGGAGGGCACATGGGTAATGGCTTAGGTGGACTTTGGGCTTGGTGTGTAACTTATGGACTGCAAACTCACTGGTGTATGCTTTGGTTAATTCTTTGTTGAAAGGCTGTAGCTTTTGAAATTGAACACTTACCTAAGTGATTATGACTTAAAAGCATAAAAGGCATCTTAAGTTAAATTACAGTTTAAGTAGTAGACAATATACTTTGTCCAAGCAATTCATTCCATAAGGAAAAATGAAAAAATTTTGATAGGTATAGATGTTGGGCATGTGAAAATAAAACAATTGGTATTTTTTGAAGTAACTTCAAGACTGCCTTTCTGTTTTTATTTCCTCAGTCTATGTGACTGCTACTTACGCTCAGTCTTGTACAGGTGAAAACTAGACTTTCCAATAAACCATAGTCATATTCTTGATCAAGAAAATGGAACTTTTAAAGTCTTTTTTATTCTTGTGGGTATTAACATTTTCTTTCTATTCTAATGTAGATGATGGTGGCTATTCCATGGATTTTAACATGAGTTCTTCCAGGGGACCACTCCCAGTAAAAAGAGGGCCACCACCACGAAGTGGGGTCCTCCTCCTAAAAGATCTGCCCCTTCAGGACCAGTTCGCAGCAGCAGTGGAATGGGAGGAAGAGGTAAATGTTTCATGTATAATAATCTATTGCCACCAACATAACACAAGAAAGAATTGAGAGGTGAATTCTAAATATCTTGCTTAAAACGTGACCATAGACTCCACGTGAATTTTGGGTGTGAACAAGAAATTCTAGAGAAGAACATTTATTGATCTAGCTACATATTGTCATGTCTGGTTGAATCACTACCTTTTTTGTAGCATGAGTATAAATACACATTTTCACTTTTCTCTGCCTATGTTTAAAAATGATTTATTTTTCTTAAGCTCCTGTATCACGTGGAAGAGATAGTTATGGAGGCCCACCTCGAAGGGAACCCCTGCCCTCTCGTAGAGATGTTTATTTGTCCCCAAGAGATGATGGATATTCTACTAAAGACAGGTAAAAGAAAAGTGTAGCTTCTTATCCATTAATAATTAAAGCTGAAGAAAAGCTCCTGAAAAACATGAAACAAATTGCTTTTGTTTCTGTAGCTATTCAAGCAGAGATTACCCAAGTTCTCGTGATACCAGAGATTATGCACCACCACCACGAGATTATACTTACCGTGATTATGGTCATTCCAGTTCACGTGATGACTATCCATCAAGAGGCTATAGGTAAGTGACTTTGCTTCCATGGTTTGACTGTTTTAAAAGAAATTGCTGTGAAAATTGGTACTCTGAAACTTAAAGATTTTCCTTTTAATTTAGTGATAGAGATGGATATGGTCGTGATCGTGACTATTCAGATCATCCAAGTGGAGGTTCCTACAGAGATTCATATGAGAGTTATGGTAAGATACTGGTTAAGGGTCTTGAATATCACCAGCTTGAGTTTTTAGGTTCATGAGCCAGTTTATTAGGCTGCGTGGTGCTTGCTTTTAAAGGGATGTTTGCTTGCTTTTTAAGGGGTGTAACTTTATCAGCTGGGCTTTTCCTAATTTTGTGAGGGGCTTTGGTTTTTTTTTTCTAAGTTTTTTTTTTTTTTTGAGGCTGTTTGCTTGCTTTGGAGGGGATTTTGCTTGCTTAAATTGGCAGCCTTATGTGTTTTCCCCCAACAGTGAAAATACAATTTAAAAATTTTATTAACAAGATCAAATATTTACCATTGCAATATGAAGGAAAATCTACAGTTCAAAATTGCAACTTATCACTGGAAAGTGGCTGAGTGTCTACTATAAAATAACAAGCTGTCTGGAATATCCTCTTGAAATACACACCGTCTTCAGTCTTTTCAAACATTAAAATCAATCCATTTCCGTATCTCAGCAGATGAGCAAATCCCTATTATGGCCAGCAATGGCAGAGTTTAAAACCTCCCAGTTGAGAAAGTAAAATTTTAATACAAAAATTCTGTAAATTCAGATTTAAATGTTGTATATATACAATTTATAGTGTTGCCATATTACCTGACCATTGACCCTGCAGGTAACTCACGTAGTGCTCCACCTACACGAGGGCCCCCGCCATCTTATGGTGGAAGCAGTCGCTATGATGATTACAGCAGCTCACGTGACGGATATGGTGGAAGTCGAGACAGTTACTCAAGCAGCCGAAGTGATCTCTACTCAAGTGGTCGTGATCGGGTTGGCAGACAAGAAAGAGGGCTTCCCCCTTCTATGGAAAGGGGGTACCCTCCTCCACGTGATTCCTACAGCAGTTCAAGCCGCGGAGCACCAAGAGGTGGTGGCCGTGGAGGAAGCCGATCTGATAGAGGGGGAGGCAGAAGCAGATACTAGAAACAAACAAAACTTTGGACCAAAATCCCTGTTCAAAGAAACAAACAAAAAGTGGAAACTATTATCATAACTACCCAAGGACTACTAAAAGGAAAAATTGTGTTACCTTTTTAAAATTTCCTGTTAAGTTCCCCTCCATAATTTTTATGTTCTTGTGAGGAAAAAAGTAAAACATGTTTAATTTTATTTGACTTTATGACATTGCTTTCAACAAGCAAATGTTAAATGTGTAAGACTTGTTGTACTAGTGTTGTAATTTTCCAAGTAAAAGTGTCCCTAAAGGCCACTTCCTATCTGATTTTTCCCAGTAAAATGAGGCAAGCAATTCTGAGATCTTCCACAAACATCTAGCCATCTAAAATGGAGAGATGAATCGTTCTGCCTATACAAACAAGTAGCTATTAGAGGGTGGTTGGGTATGCTACTTCTAGGATTTCAGGGTGTCTTCAAACTGAAATCAAAATGTTCTCAGTATGAAAAACCTGAGATCAAATGCCTATGTAAGGAAAGTGCTGTTCACCCAGTAAACCCAAAACAAATGGATAATGCTGGCCATATTTTGCCTTTCTGACATTTCCTTGGGAATCTGCAAGAACCTCCCCTTTCCCCTCCCCCAGTAAAACCATTTAAGTGTGTGTTAAACAACTACAGAATACTAAATAAAAATTTTGGCCAAAACCAACCATGAAGCTGCAAAGGGTGCTTGCTCTTACTGTTTCAAATTTTTGCAACTCTGTAGTGTCTCACTTTTAAAGGAACAGCTTGATTGCAAAGGAGAAAATAGATAAGCAATGAAGTTATCTCCAACTTCCTAAAGGCTTATGACTTCTAAAAAGTGAATCTATCAGCATTCCACATCAGATTTAAAGCATCAAATGCCTGTGAAACAGCAAAGATGGTAAGCAAAGCAAACTAGTTTTTCCGTCTAAGTCGAAATTGAACACTTAAGCCTTCCTCATAGTACAGTGAAACATAACTGTACCTCATGGCAATGGAAATGCCTTCTAGATTAAAAAAAAAAAAACTTTTGGAAAAGCAGATGTTCAATAGCATATTAGAAGTCCTCCAAATTCAACACTTGGATTTTTTTTTTTAAGCATGTATGACACTTAAAGGCCTTAATACAGCTGTTGTTATCCAATAGCAATCTGGGGCTTGGGAGGGGGTATTTTTTTTTTAAGTATTTTTGATGAAGACCTTTAAACATGCTTCATACGTTTTAACATTTTTTTGATATTAGTTTTTTAGTCAATATAGAAAATGGCTTAAGATTGGGGTCCCCTCTTTACCCCTGTAAGCCATTACAAACTTGACATTTAGTTGGATGCCTGACTTGTTTTTAGTTCTATGAAACTACACTGTATGGAGAAAATCTATTGCAAGTGGTCTTTAAAAAGCAAAACCTGAGGCAGCATGACCCAGGTCCAGCCATGAAGTTGAAAAAGATGCTCTTGAATATAGTAAACTTGAAGACCTCCAACTAAAAATCCTTATACTGCACTTATTCCTTCAAATAAGTTTTGTCCGTTCAACTTATGGATTTAACGTGGCAGTGCACCATTGGAACAGAATGAGAATCCATAAGCCATGCAACTTAACCATTTAAGCCATTCCAGTCCATCCCAAGCCAGTGAATCTTCCACCACTTAAGAGAAGTAGTAGAACATGAAATATATTAAGCTGCAAGTCTGAACTTGCCTTTTCTTTCTGGAAAAGAAGGCAGTTATAGGCAAGTTGTAAAGAATTTCCTTAAGAGAGATAACTAGTTTTCATCTATTTAACTTTTGCAGGTTGAGGATTATGGTCATTATGGTCATGGAGTGCTGATTTATTCACAGCAGATAAAGCTGGCAGCGAGAGAAATCAAATGCTAAGGTAAGTTTATAATTTTGCCACTCTGTATAGCTGTAATGTTGATGAGTTATTTCTTATCCTCACTTCATGTTAGAGTGGTTCATTCATGTAATATACTTAGCTGTTTTTGAGCCAGTAAAACTTGTTAATTGCTGTTCATATGCAAGTGTCCTTTTTTTCTTTTTTTGAGACAGTTTCTGTCACCCTGGCTAGGGTGCCAGAGGTATCATCATAGCTCCCTGCAACTTCAAACTCCTGGGCTCATGTGATCCTCCTACCTAAGCCTCCTGAGTAGCTTGGACTACAGGCACATGCCACCATTCCTGGCTATTTTTTTTTCCATTTTTAGTAGAGGTGGACCCTCACTCTTTTAAACTGGTCTTGAACTCCTGAGCTCAAGCAATCCTCCTTCCTCAGCCTCCTAGAGTGCTAGGATAACAGGCTGAGGCATTGCGCCTGGCTGCAAGTGTTCTCTTGAAAGGAGCTGTATAGTTATGATATAGGAGCAAACTGGGGAAGTTTTAGCTTCCTCTCATGCATTTTATGAAAGAACATACCAGTGCCTGCTCATTTGCCCAGCCACAATACAGATTGATTATAAGTGGAGAGTTAATGATGTAGCTGTGACTGTAAGTTCCCTGTTTGAATAACCTAATTTTGACATATATAATATGTAATTTTAATACTAGCAAGCTGATGGTACAACAGGTATTAATGGTTGGTTTTTAGAGCTTGAATTTTAAAGAAAATGCTTATGTTGTGAGTTAAAGTAATAAAGTATATCTAAAGAATAGGTGGGGGGACTACTTTGCAGTTATAGAACCAAAGACCTTGTAACCTGATCTCATGATTTTCATTTTACAGAGTTGTTGAAGCAGAAGAACGCTGATTTGTCGTTAAGTCACAACAGTTGCATAACCAGTGCTGTCAGAATTGGTTTGGTGCAGGCAATAGATTTTGCCTTCAAGGGTTCCTGTGGATCTGAAGAGGGCCTCAGTGTTGATTAACACTCTTAACTAGGGAGTGGTAGTTACTTAAAATAAGTAATTGACCAAATGGAGAAAGGGAAGCAATTAAGGAAATTGGTAAGTGAAGATAGTCAGGGAGTTCTTGTGATTCTTCATAGATTTCACAGTTTTGGCTTTAATTTTGTTTAGCTAAAGTCATAGGGGCAACTCTACAGTTTAGAACTTAAGTTGAATTAGAAAAATGATGGACATAAGTGGCCTTATCCAGTAAAGTGTCTTGATTTTCAGCAAGTGAAACATTTTGATAGTTTATCCAGAAACAGGGTTTAGTTGTAGAACAAAACTAAGAGGGAGTGACTTCTGGAAACAAATAACAGCTAGAAATCTTGCTAAGATAGAAAGCACACTTAAAACTGGAAACAAAACTAGGCCACTTATCTTTGTTTTACTGTATTGCTTTGTAACCCTACTTTACCCTCCCACCTCCCAATCTTGGAAACAAATTATGATACAACTTCAGTTTATTACTTTGAAAATGAGAGCCAATAGTATAATTGCCAGTGTTCTCAAAGGCAACAGATTTGAATTGTTGGGTTAGAGGAGCTAACTCAACTTACAAGATTTGTGTGTGTGTGGTAATTATGCCACAACTATCATGTTTAACATTTGCAATTGGGGAAAATAATCCAGAAATTTTAACCCTCATTTGACAGACTTTTCTAATCCCAGACCATGAGGGTATTGACCAAATTCATACAGTTATTGCACTTCCTTGGCTGTCTTAGTTCAGTCCTTTCATACTCTGATTACTTGGATTAATGCTTCTGTGAGGACATTTTGGCTCTTGAGATTTTGTTTAGCCTTAAAATAGTGTAGAATAGAAAGATTAAATAGTAAATGTGAATTCCAAACTCAAAGTAAGGAGTATGCTGACCAGGTACTTGCTGGACAAATAGTTTACTGACCTAGCAGGCTTGTGAAAAAAGAATCGCTCTTGATTCTTCTGGCTTTATACTGGTTGTAAAGGAAACAGAATGATACAGAAATGTTTTCCTTGTTTAACTGGTAGTTGAGCATAGAACTTAGGAATTACAGATCACTTCATTTTGGAATGTTTTGTATTGAAGCTTAATAAAACTTTAACATCTTTTTGTGGCAGTGATTTCTTAAAGCTTCAAAGTGTTTTTTTTTTTTTTCATGTGTCCCCCTCCCCACATAGTTGCTCTGATGTACTCCTGGCACTTAATCAGTTGTGAGGGAATGTCTAGAGTCATTGAAGTGACTTTGTTACTAGGTCTCCTTTTTTGGGGAGTGAGTATCATGGATAATTCAGATGATTTCATTTAATAACTCTAAAAATTAAATGGGAGCAAATCACATCTCAGAACTAGAGGCTAAAATACCAGGAATCTATTGTAACACTATTTCCTGTTTAACTCTTGGAAAACAGGTAGTCAATAACAATTCACTTGTGCCAGGGGATCCCAAACACTTTGGACAAAGTTCTTCAGCAGTGCTGTTAAGATACGTGCTTCTGTGTTCATGATTTTCAGTTTTTCTACTCTACTCTCTATCCTATATACATCTAATTGGTGTTCATTTGCACCTAAAACAGGAGATTGCATTTTGGTTATGTAGCCAGTTGAACAACTTATCACATGGCAAAGGAATGCAGCCGAGCATTAAAGAGTGCAGAGAAGGCCTGTCGTGGTGGCTCATGCCTGTAAATCCTAGCACTCTGGGAGGCCGAGACGGGCAGATCGCTCAAGGTCAGGAGTTCGAAACCAGCCTGAGCAAGACCCCATCTCTACCAAAAATAGAAATTAATTGGCCAACTAAAAAAATGTAGAAAAAATTAGCCGGGCATGGTGGTGCATGCCTATAGTCCCAGCTACTTGGGAGGCTGAGGCAGGAGGATCGCTTGAGCCAAGGAGTTTGAGATTGCCATGAGCTATGATGCCACTGTACCCTGTGGCAGGGAGACTGTCTCAAATAGTATTTCAACATTTCAGATTTAAATTTTACCTTAAAAGTCCATAAATACTGAGCTAATTCATAAGGAAGTTGAAAATATTTTTCAGGAAGTATACTGGTATGTACAACTTATAAAGAATTGATGGGATGTACAGATTTATGACTTTCTGTGGAGCTGAAGCTATTTACAGAATAATACCTGGGGCTTTCTCTGCACTTTTTGAGACAGTCTCACTGTGTTGTCCAGGCTAGAGTGCCGTGGCGTCAGCCTAGCTCACAACAACCTCAGGCTCCTAGACTCAAGTGATCCTCCTGCCTCAGCCTCCCAAGTAGCTGGGACTACAAACTTTTGCTCTACCACACCCAGCTAATTTTTCTATGTTTAGTAGTGATGGGGTCTTAGGCTGGTCTTGAACTCCTGAGGTCAAGGGATCCTTCCTCCTCAGCCTCCTAGATTGCTAGGCTTACAGGTGTGATCCTCTGTGCCCAGCCTCAAGTGTACCATTCCATGAATTATTAAGTGCATGTACTCTGTCAAGATAGAATTTCACCCTCACCCCAGAAAGTTACCATGTGACCCTTCCCAGGTGATTCCGGCTCATTCTTCGGAGATGCCTTTTTTTCCTGATTTTTGCAGATTGCCTGTTTCTAGAACAAATAAATATAATGTATGGAGCCTGTGTTAGTTTGTAGTGCAGCAAAGTTCTTGAGATTTAGCCATGTACAAATCAGTAATTATTTTTTTGGGGGGGGGGACAGTCTCTTGCCCTGGGCTATAGTGCCGTGACATCGGCCTCAAACTGCTGAGCTCAAGCAATCTTTCTGCGTACATGCCTGGCTAATTTTTTGTATATGTTTTTTAGTTGGCCAATTTCTATTTTTAGTAGAGACACGGGGTATTGCTCTTGCTCAGACTGGTTTCAAACTCCTGACCTTGAGCGCCTTGGCCTCCCAAAGTGCTAGGATTATAAGTGAGCCACTGCGCCCAGCCCTGTAGTTCTTTTTATTGCTGAGTATGAGTATAGTAGTTAGCTATTGATGAGAACCTGGGTCTTTTCTACTTTTGGGTTATTAAGGATAAAGTTGCTAATAAATGTTTTTGTACAAGTCTTTATGTATATGTAATTACTAAAGAGATGAAAACATGGAATTGCTGGATCATAGGGTAGATGTATATAGTTTTATGAGAAACTGCCAGACGTGTTTTCCAAAATAGTAATATTTTACTTACCAGCAGTGTTGAGTTTGGGTTACTCCACCCCCTCATTAGTACTTCATGTTTTTAAGTTTGGCCATCTGGTGAATGTGTGTCATTTAAATTATTCGCTGAGGATTAATGAGTAGCATTTTTTTTAAAAAAGATAGGAACTATATTTATAGTGAAATGCACAGATTTGAAGTGTACTGTTTGATCAGTCTTGAAAAATGCTTAGGCACATAAAGTCACAGGACACCTTTCCAGGAACTTTACATGTACCCCTTCCCAGTCAATAGCCCACCTCCCAACACCAGAGAAGCAACACCTGGTTTCTATCATAGGATATTTTTGCATATTTGACTATTTTATGTAAATTGAATCCTACATCAATGTGTTTTGTATGTCCAGCTGCTTTTAGCATGTTTTTTAAATTCATCTTACCTGCATATTTTTGTTGCAGAGTATGAAATACCAGTTTATAGATGGCTATTTCCAGTTTTTGGCTATTGTGAATAATACTTCTATGAATACTCTTGTTCAAGTCCTAGACATATATCTTCATTTCTTTTGAATAAACATCAAGGTGGAATTAATGGAGTGATAAGGTAGATGATACACAGTAAATTCTCAGTAAGTTCTGGGAAACTGATTTTAAGCTAAATGACACATAACAAAACCAATTTTACCATAGGCTAACTAATATAAGAGTCAGGTTCCTACAGCATGTTTCTGGTTGCAAGAATATCACCAAGCTTCTAAATGAAGATAAAAACATTTCTAATATTAAACATTGAAATAAATTTACAGTTATTCCAGTTCAGGATCTCAAGAGGCTTGAGCCTATATCAGCAACTCTGGGCACAAGGTGGGAACTGACCATGGCCTAGACACCATCCCATCACAGGGCACCTGCATACACACAGACTGGGACAATGTAGACATACCAATTAACCTAACAGGCACATCTTTGGGAGGCAATGGGAGGACCCAGATAAAACTCATACAGACATGGGTAGTAGAGCATGCAAACTCCACACAGTGGCCCCAGCTGGGAATTGGCTTTTTTCTTACCAATGTTATAACAAAATTAGTGAAACGACGTTATTCAAGTACCTACTGTATGTTTAATTTAATTTTTTAAGAAACTGTCAAATAGTTTTCCCAAAGTGGTCGTACCATTTTATGCCCTCATTAGCAATTTATGAGAATTCTTATTGCTTCACAACATCCTTTCCAGCCAACATTTGCTGTTGTTGATCAGTTTCATTTTAACCATTTTAGTGGGTGAAATAGTACTGTGATTTGAATTTGCATTTCCCTGATGACAAATTATGCTGAGCACTTTTTAAAAAACTTAACTTTGGGATAATTTTAAGTTTCCAAAAAAGTTGCAAAGAGTAGAGTTCCTGTATATAATTTACCCAGTTTCCTCTAATTTTAATCTCTTACATAACTATGGTATATTTGTGAAAACGAAGAGAGTAACCGTGGCACACACTATTAACTAAACTCTAGACTTTATTCAGATTTCATAAGTTTTCTAGTACTGTCCTATTTCCATTTCCAGGATCCAATCCAGTATCCCACATTGCACTAAATACTGGATAGTTTCTCATGTGCTTATTAACCATGTGTATAGTTTCTTTCACAAAGCATCTTTTAAGGTTTTGTCCATTTTAAAACTTGGATTGCCTATTTTATATTTTTTTGAGACAGGGTCTCACTCTAATGCCTGGGCTAGAGTACAGTGGCATCAGCATAGCTCATAGCAACCTCAGACTTCTTAAGGATCACTCCTCAAGTGATCCTTTTGCCTGAGCCTCCCAAGTAGCTGTGCCTACAGGCATGCACCACCATGCCTGGCTAATTTATATATATATATATATTTTTAGTTAGCCAATTAATTTCTTTCTATTTTTTTTAGTAGAGATGGGGTCTTGCTCTTGCTCAGGCTGGTTTCAAACTCCTGAGCTCAGACCATCCACCCACCTTGGCCTCCCAGAGTGCTAGGATTACAGGCATGAGCTGCCACGCATGGCCTAGATTGCCTATTTTATAAATATATAATTTTTTTATGTATTCTGGATATAAGTTGTCAGATACATGTGTTATGAATATCTTCTCCAGTCTGTGTCTCGCCTATTTATTTTTTTTGTATTTTTTGATGAACAAATGGAAGTCTAACTTTTAAAAAAAATTTCATGGTTCTTGCTTTCTGTGACCTATCAAAATTGCCTACTCCATGGTCGTGAATGTTTTTTCCTATCTTCTACAAGTTTTGTAGTTTTAATGTTTGTATTAGGACTATAATCCATTTTGAATTTTTTATGGTGAAAGGTAGGAGTTGAAATTCATTTTTTCAAATACAAATATTTATTTATTTAGTTTTGAGACAGAGTCTCACTCTGTTACAGCACTGTGGCATCAGCGTAGCTCACAGCAACCTCAAACTCCTGGGCTCAGGTGATCTTCCTGTTTCAGCCTCCCGAGTTGCTCGGAGTACAAGCATGCACCACCATGCCCGACTAAGTTTTTTCTATATATTTTTAGTTAGCCAATTAATTTCTTTCTATTTTTAGTAGAGACGGAGTCTTACTCTTGCTCAGGCTGGTTTCGAACTCCTGAGCTCAGACCATCCACCCGCGTCGGCCTCCCACAGTGCTAGGATTACAGGCGTGAGCCACCATGCCTGGTCACAAATATTTATTTGTTCCAGCATTTTTTGTTGAAAATACTACCCTTTCATTGAATCACCTCAGTATCTTAGTAGGAGCCATATATATCTGGGTCCATTACTGCACTTTAAAAAAAAAATTGATCAGTAATATCTATCTTTATCCTAGCACTTTGGGAGGCCGAGGCGGGTGGATGGTCTGAGCTCAGGAGTTCGAGACCAGCCTGAGCAAGAGCAAGACCCTGACTCTACTAAAAAAATAGAAATTAGCTGGACAACTAATATATATATATATATATAAAATTAGCCGGGTATGGTGGCGCATGCCTGTAGTCCAAGCTACCCAGGAAGCTGAGGCAGGAGGAATGCTTGAGCCCAGGAGTTTGAGGTTGTTATGAGCTAGGCTGATGCCATGGCACTCTAGCCCAGGCACCGTAGTGAGACTCTGTCTCAAAAAAAAAAAAAAATTAATGTCTATCCTTATCTTGATTACTATAGTTTTATAGTAAGCTCTCTAAAGATATTAATTTTTTAAAGTTTTCTTCCTGCAGAGTGGGTTTTTCCCCTTGAAGTTACTGTTGCTGCTATTTTTTTCTACTTTAGACTTCTTGTTAGGGGCTTTCCTCAAATGATTGGAAATTTTTGGCTCTGTGCTCATGATTATAAGAGTAGAGGATTAACATGTTCATAAGCTCCGAGTGCTTTTTGACTTTGAGCATCACTGTGGGTGCTGTTTGTTGGAGAACCCCTGTGCTATGGTTTGAATGTTTGTCCCCTCTGAAACTCATTTTGAAACCTAATCCCCATCATGGCATATTGAGAAGCAGGGCCTTTAAGAGGTGATTGTCTCCAGTCAGAAGACAGCTTTTGTGGCAATTTGGTGTACCACCAGCTAAGTAGTTTAGTTCGTTTATATGGCATGTATGAATTTTCAATAAATGCCTAAAATTCAAGCATTTCTCATTTAGGATAGAAAAAAAAGGTGATTGTATCCTGAGGGCTCTGCCCTCATGAATGGATTAGTGGGTTAATGGATTAAAGGGTTATCATGGAAGTGGGACTGGTGGCTTTATAAGAAGAGGAAGAGAGACCCAAGCTAGCATGCTCAACCCCCTCGCCATGTGATTCTCTGTGCCGCCTCAGGACTCTGCAGAGAGTCCCTGCAAGCAAGAAGGCTCTCACCAGATGTGGCTCCTCGACCTTGGACTTCTCAGCATTCAGAACTGTAAGAAGTAAGTTCCTTTTCTTCATAAATTACCCAGGTTTTCAGTTCAGAAAATGGACTAAGACATCCTGATGTTAATTTCTGTAGGTTTCTCCTCTTGGGATAACCAGATTCTTCAAGGATGGCTTGCCTTGCCTTGAGAGTGTAGGTTGTATTTACTAGCTTAAGGTGTAGAGTTGAGGTTTCAGTGTGGCCCGTGTACCTGCACATGTGATATGCTCCCAATTCCAACTGGGCTCCAGTGTTGCCTCGATGGAACCCACTTCCAGCTGGCTTGGCATTGCTGTGATGAGGTGGGAGATGACTTTCCCAATGCAGTGCTGGGGGAGAAAGGGCACAATTAGAAATTTCTCCCCCAGCCTCTCCTCTGTCCATGGTGTCTCCTCTTCCATTTATGCTACTCTTCCCTGAGCTCTGTCCCCACCCCACACCTCCTCTCTCCTGTCTCTCTAAATGTTTCTCAGTTCTATCTAGACTAAGTTCAAATTCTAGTTTCAGCTTTACTGGCTGTGTAACTTTGGGCAAGTTACTTAACCTTTCTATACTTGTTTTCTCATCTATAAAATTGGAATAATAATAGTATTTATCTCATAGCATCTACTGGGAAGATTAAATGAGTTAATAGTTCCTGAATATTATAATGCTGCATAAGTATTAGATTTTATTATGATGCATCAACTTTCTTTTTGTGTGTCATCTTCAGGGCTGGCATTGGGGGAAGGAGCCAGCATTTATGTTTAGATCAGCATCTTGTCAAGGACTGAATGTCCTTGCTACAAGCTGAGTTTCTTCCTTTTTCTCCTGAGTTAGTCACACTACTCAATTTTTTTGTATATTATTGTGATTAGTACACACAGAGCCCTTCTCATTTTACTTTCACTTTTTATCCCCATTCCTATTCCCATTCATTTGCCCACCACTGGCAACCATTTTAATGAATTTAATGTATATCCTTTTGTTTGCATGTGTTCTTATTGAATATATATTGATATTTTATATGCATATATTTTTAATTTACATAGTGGCATGGTATTGTGTTTTATATCTCGTTCTGTTCCAAGACAGAGTCTCGCTCTGTTGCCCGGGCTAGAGTGCTGTTGGCCTCAGCCTAGCTCACAGCAATCTCAAACGCCTGGGCTCAAGTGATCTTCCTGCCTGGGCCTCCCAGAGTACTAGGATTACAGGCCTGAGCCACCACTCCCAGCCTAGTCCATTGCTTCTAACTACAGCTATAGTATTCCCTGGTATGCCCTTTCCATATTTTGCCTATCCACTCTCCTCATTTGTTCTATAAGCTATTTCTTCCTGGGTTGTAGCGTGTAACTGGCTTCCTGCAACACGTTGAGATCTGACCTTAGTTATGGGTTTAATGACAATTGGAGGTATTTGTGGTGGATTTTGAGGAGAATAGCACCCCCCTTCAAGTAATCCGCCCCAGACAAGGTTATCATACAGCTTTTAAGCAGAGGAAGGCTATTTCTATAGACATTGGAGGGCAAAGTTCTTCAACTGGTTGGGGAGGTTCAGAATGATTGGGGGGTTTAAGAGGGTCAGTTTCATTTGGGTCCATACAGATGTCTTTATTCCAAGTTCCAGGATCCTATTCCTTATCAGTCAAAGCCCCAACTTCCACATGCGAGACTTGGTAAGACTGAATTCAGCTGTTACTGTGATGCAGCGTCCTGCACAGTTGATTTTCAGCAATGCCAGCTGTTTGAATACAAGAAATAAGAGTTTTCTGGGGGGCTGTCATGGAAGCCCTCTGATTCTCAGACTGTGACTTGAGCTGAGTTAATGGACCTGAGCTTGTAATTTTTTTCTTTGTAAATGGTCAAGTGAACTCAAAAGAATTTAGCCAACACCACAGTCTTTCTGCTCATCATTACTGCTGTAACAGTTAAATGCAGCAGTCACTTAGGCTCCCAAAACATGTTATTCCATTGGCACTTTATGTACCACAGGTGATAGCTTGATTGTTGTGATGCTCTTGAATGCCAGGGATTACTGGCATCCCATTTCCACAGGGCAAGGAGTACCTGTTCAAGTCCAAAGGCATGAACAAACCACTCCCCAAATCCTATTTTTGTGGGTCTGTCTCTGTGTGCTTCTCTGTAGGATCTTGTCTAGGTACCAATTGAGTATCAGTCTAGGTTCAATCAGGAGAGAGAAACCACGTAGTACTTTCAACAGAAAGGGTTTGGTATAAAGAATTATTTAATGGGTAAAAGTAAAAAGGGATTACCTAGTAGGTAGTAAAGAAAACTCTAAAGAATATAGGAATATTAGATATACTAATAGAATAACAGATAAAATAATAATATATGACTGCTATTCCTAGGGCTGGGATAGAGGATCCAAGGAAAACTCCTCCAGAGCTATGATAGAGGACCCAAGGAATAGCTCCACCCCCACCCCAGGGCCAAAATCTATACCTTGTTTGAGGGACATGGCCATGACTTATTGAATGGTAAAGAAGTCACTGTGGTGCCACATTGGCAGAACTTGCTGGAAATCTATCACCTAGGATGCTGGAGAAATCTGTTCCCAGGGAGGTATCTCATGAGAGGTACTGCTCAAGGGGATTTCTGGGGAAGCTGAAAGCACTACAGGGGCCCGAGCCTGGAGACATACCCCCATTGCAGAAGCCAGAGCTGGAGAAGCTGCCCAGGCTAGAGGATCACATGCTGCAAGAGCCTGCCAAGCAAGCATACTGGAAGCAGGAAGCAAAACCACATCCTCCTGTGATGTCTCATCAAGATCCTTTACTGACAAAACCTAACATCATGCCTTGGTCCTCAGACTAAAAGTTACACCATTGGCTTTTCCAGTTCTGAGGCCTTCAGACTTAGTCTGATCCACACCTCTGGCTTCCCTTGTTCTCTAGCTTACAGACGGCCTACTGTGGGACTTCTCAGCTTCCATAATCGAGTGAGCTGATTCCCCTAATAAACTCCTTCTCATATATTTTTTTCTATGTGTATCCTATTGTTTCTGTCTCTCTGGGGAACCTTGACTAAAACAGATTTAGAGATTTATTCTAGTAATGCAAGACTGGTTCAAAATTCAAAGACCAATTAATATAATTTACCATATCAATAGACTAAGGAAGAAAATAATATCATATCAATTGATACAGAAGACATATACAAGTTTATTTGGAAAATTGTATGGAAAGGCATAGGCCCTAAAATACCTAAAACAAATTAAAAAAGAATAAAGTAGGAGGAATCACTCTACTTGTTATTAAACCTTAATATATAACTCCTCTAATCAAGACAATGTGGTATTTGTGGAGTTATAGGCCATGGATCAATAGAACAGAATAGAGAACTGAGACATAGACCCACACAGACATGTCTAAATGATTTTTTTATTTTTAATTTTTTAATTTTTTCAACCCAGTACCACAAATGAATTTAAATGATTTTTGCTGGGTATAGTGGCTCACGCCTATATTTCCACACTTTGGGAGGCCAAGGTAGGAGGATTGCTTGAGGCCAGGAGTTGAAGACCAGCCCGGGCAATATAGCCAGACCCCATCTCTAAAAAAGAAAACCACTACTCTTTGCTGATGATATGATACCTAGAAAACTCCATGGATTCTTCCAAGAGACTCCTAGACTTGATAAATGAATTTGATAAAGTCTCAGGTTACAAAATCAATGTACACAAATCAGAGGTATTCATATATGCCAAGAACCGTCAAACTGAAACTCAAACACAATACCTTTCACTATAGCCCCAAAGAAAAATATCTAGGAATATATTTAATGAAAGATATGAAAGACTTATACAAGGAGAACTATGAAACACTAAAAAAAGAAATTGTAGAAGATGTAAACAGATGGAAAAATCTACCTTGTTCATGGATTGGTAGGATCAATATCGTTAAAATGTCAATATTACCTAAAGTCATCTACAGAATTAATGCAATCCTCATCAAAGTACCACCATCATTCTTTACAGATCTAGGAAAAATAATTCTGCACTTTGTATGGAACCAGAAAATACCTCGTATAGCCAAAGCAATCTTCAGTAAAAAGAACAAACTGGGAGGCATTAGTCTTCCTAACTTCAAGCTGTACTATAAAGCAATAATAATTAAATCAGCCTGGGATTGGCACAAGAACAGAAGCGTTGACATTTGGAATAGAACTGAGATTCCAGAGATGAAACCATCTGCATACAGTAACCTAATCTTTGATAAAGCAGACAAAAATATACAACGGGGAAAAGAATCTCTCTTTAATAAATGGTGCTGGGGAAATTGGATAGCTATGTGCAGAAGATTGAATCAGGATACCTACCTCTCACCTCTCACAAAAATCCACTCAAAATGGATAACATATTTAAACCTAAGGCATGGGACAGGCGCGGTGGCTCACGCCTGCAATCCTGGCACTCTGGGAGGCCAAGGCGGGTGGATTGCTCGAGGTCAGGAGTTCGAATCCAGCTTGAGCAAGAGCGAGACCCCATCTCTACTATAAATAGAAAGAAATTAATTGGCCAACTAATTATATATATATATATATATATATATATGAAATTGGTCGGGCATGGTGGCACATGCCTGTAGTCCCACCTACTCGGGAGGCTGAAGCAGGAGGATTGCTTGAGCCAAGGAGTTTGAGGTTGCTGTGAGCTAGGCTGACGCCATGGCACTCACTCTAGCCTGGGCAACAAAGTGAGACTCTGTCTCAAAATAAATAAAAAGTAAAACAAACAAACAAAAAAATAAACCTAAGGCATGAAACCTTAAGAATCCTAGAAGAAGAGGTTGGGAAAACCCTCTCAGACATTGGCCTAGGCAAAGAATTCTTGAAGAAGAACCCCCCGCCCCCCCGAAATCAATCACTGCAGCAACAAAAATAAACAAACGGGACCTGATCAAATTAAAAAGTTTCTGCACAGCCAAGGAAACTATCATTAAAGCAAATAGACAACCTACAGAGTGGGAGAAAATATTTGCTCTCTACACTTCCAATAAAGGTCTGATAACAAGACTCTATCTAGAGCTCAAAAGAATTAACAACAACAACAAAAATCAAACAACCCCATTAAGAAAATGGGCAATGGAAATGAACAGAAAATTTTCTAAAGAAGACAGAATAATGGCCAGCAAACATATTAAAGAATGCTCAACATCTCTAATCATTAGAGAAATGCAAATCAAAACCACAATGAGATACCATCTAACCCCAGTGAGAATGGCCTGTATCAAGAAATCCCAAAACAACAAATGCTGGTGAGATGTGGAGAGACAGGAACACTCTTACACTGCTGGTGGGACTGCAAATTAGTACAACCTTTATGGAAAAGAATTTGGAGATATCTCAAAGAGCTAAAAATAGAAATACCATTTGACCTAGCAATAGCATTATTAGGCATCTACCCTAAAGAGCATAAAATATTCTATTATAAAGACATCTGCACTCGAATGTTTATGGCAGCACAATTCACTATTGCAAGGATGTGGAAACTACCCAAGTGTCCGTCAATTCATGAGTGGGTTATTAAAATTTGGTATGTTTACAATGGAATATTACTCAATTCTAAGAAACGACAGCGAGCTAGCACTGCTTATATTATCCTGGATTGAGCTTAAGCCCATTACCCAAAGTGAGGTGACACAAGATCAGAATAATGGGCTCCACATATACTCGCCATCAAATTGGTACTGACTGATTAACACTATGGTGCTCAAATGGTGGTGGTGTTCACCAGGGATTCGGGGGTTGGAGGGGGGTAGTCCCACATCTGAGGGATGTGGTGGACATTGTGGAGGGGAAGGGCATACCTCTAACCCTTGCTAGAGAGGCAAATATATAAAATGTAACCAAAATGTTAAGTAAAAAAGAAAAGCATACATTTGTTGGGTGTGGGGCAGGTGGGAGGGAAGAGGTAGGGATGGGTATATACATACATAGTGAGTGTGATGCACACCGTCTGGCGGATGGACACACTTGAAGCCCTGACTCAGGGAGGAGGGGAGACAATGACAAAGTATGTAACCTTAATGTTTGTCCCCCCATAATATGCTGAAATAAAAAAAATAAAAGAAAAAAATCAGCCAGGTGTGGTGGTACACGTCTGACGTCCTAGTTACTAGGGAGGCTGAGGCAGAAGGGTTGCTTGAGCCCAGATGTTCAAGGTTGCTGTGAGCTAGGCTTATGCCATGGCACTCTAGCCTGGGCAACAGAGTAAGACTCTGTCTCAAAAAAAAAAAAAAAAAAATAGGGCTGGGCGTCGTGGCTCACACCTGTAATCCTAGCTTTCTGGGAGACCGAAGTGGGCAGATCGCTCAAGGTCAACAGTTTGAAACCAGCATGAGCAAGAGCGAGACCCAGTCTCTACTAAAAATAGAAAGAAATTAATTGGCCAACTAAAAATATATAGAAAAAATTAGCCGGGCGTGCTGATATATGCCTGTAGTCCCAGCTACTCAGGAGGCTGAGGCAGTAGGATTCCTTGAGCCCAGGAGTTTGAGGTTGCTGTGAGCTAGGTTGATGCCACGGCACTCTAGCCTGGGTAACAGAGTGACTCTGTCTAAAAAAAAACCAAAAAACAAAAAATCCAAACTATTCTTAAAAACTGAAGACAAAATAAATAAATTCCCAAACAATAAGCAATGAAATGTATTGCTAGCATAACTACCTTACAAGGGATAAAAAAATAAGTTCTTTAGAGTGAAAAAAGAATTGACTTCAGAGATTAAATTGAATCCATACAAAGAAATGAAAAGCTCCAGTAAAGGTAATTGCATAGGCAATTATAAAAATACAGTATAATGTTTGTGTGTATTTGTATATGCATAGATATAATCTCTCCTTTTCTTAATAGATTTAAAAAACAATTCCATAAAACAATAATTATAAAATTATATTCTTAGGCTTTTTTTTTTTTAAGACAGAGTCTCGCTTTGTTGCCCAGGCTATAGTGAGTGCTATGGCGTCAGCCTAGCTCACAGCAACCTCAAACTCTTGGGCTCAAGCAATCCTGCTGCCTCAGCCTCCCGAGTAGCTGGGACCACAGGCATGCGCCACCATGCCCAGCTAATTATATATATAGTATTAGTTAGCAAATTAATTTCTTTCTATTTTAGACAGGGTCTCACTCTTGCTCAGGCTGGTTTTGAACTCCTGACTTTGAGCAATCTGCCCATCTCGGCCTCCCAGGGTGCTAGGATTATAGGTGTGAGCCACCGTGCCCGGCCTATTCTTAGGCTTTTAACATATTAAAATGTGATATTAATATATATGACAATAATAGCACCATGGAGGGGAAAGGGAATGACACTATGTTAAAACAAGTAAATGACAACAAACAGAAATTAAAACTACAGAAAAAATTGAAGGGTACCACAAATGGTAACTATGTAGGTTAGTACAAAAGACTCGTGCAACCACTAAGAAAAATAACCTCCTCAAATAAAGAAATTATTCAACAAAAGAATTTAAAAGGTACAGTAGAAAAATATATGTTTGGCTGAGTACAGTGGCTCACACCTGTAATCCCAGCATTTGGGAGGCCAATGCAGGAGAATCACCTGAGATTCTCTCTTGAGATCAGGAGTTTAAGACCAGCCTGGGCAAGAAAGCAAGATCCCATCTTTCCCAAGAAAAAAGATAATATATGTTTAATACAAAAGAAGGAGGTAAAAGAGGAACAAAGGAACAAAAACGATGAAACATAGAAAAAATAATCAAAATGACCAACATATATCCAGCCATACCAAAAATAACATTAAACATGAATGGATTAAATAACCTAATCGAAGGCAGATAGTATGAGAGTGAAAAAATCCCAAGATACAACTAGACACTGTCTACAAAAAATGTACTTTAGTTTCAAAACAGAAATAGGTTCATATTAAGAGGATGAAAAAAGATATACTATGTAAACAGTAACCATAAGAATGCTGGTGTGGTTATACTTGTATCAGATAAAGTAGATTCTAAGACAAAAATAAATGTTACTAGAAACAAATAGTATATTTTATAATAAATAAAGGTCAATTTATTGGGAATATAAAATTATAACCATGTACACAGAGCACCATAATAGAAAAAGAAAAGCTGACAGAATTGAAGAGAGAAGTCAAACAGTTCTAGGTAGACTTCATTATCACTCTCAGTAATAGATAGGACGAAGACACTGAAGACTTCAGCAACACTATAAATCAACTTTAGTTAATATCTACAGAACAATCCACCCCAAAACAGCAGAATATACATTATTTTCAAATGCACATGGAACATTCTCAAGGATTGGTCATATACTAGTTCATAAAACAAGTTTTATTACACTTAAAAGAACTAAGAGCATACAAAGTATGTTTTCTGATTACAGTGAAATTATTAAAATAAATTGGAAATCAATAAAAGGAACCTTGGGTAATTCACAAGTACTTGGAAATTAAACAACACATTTCTAAATAACCAGCGAGAAATCAAGAAATCCCAAGTAAGCTCTTTCCGTGCTTAGCACAGCCATGGCCCGCGGTCCCAAGAAGCATCTGAAGCGTGTAGCAGCTCCAAAGCATTGGATGCTGGATAAGCTGACCGGTGTGTTTGCTCCTCGTCCATCCACCGGTCCCCACAAGCTGAGAGAGTGTCTCCCACTCATCATTTTCCTAAGAAACAGGCTTAAGTATGCCCTCACAGGAGATGAAGTGAAGAAGATCTGCATGCAGCACTTCATTAAAATTGATGGCAAGGTCCGAACTGATATAACCTACCCTGCTGGATTTATGGATGTCATCAGCATTGACAAGACTGGAGAGAATTTCCGTCTGATTTATGACACCAAGGGTCGCTTTGTTGTTCATTGTATCACACCTGAGGAGGCCAAGTACAAGTTGTGCAAAGTGAGAAAAATCTTTGTGGGCACAAAAGGAATCCCTCATCTGGTGACTCATGATGCTCGTACCATCCGCTATCCTGATCCACTCATCAAAGTGAATGACACCATTCAGATTGATTTGGAGACTGGCAAGATTACTGATTTCATCAAGTTTGACACTGGTAACCTGTGTATGGTGACTGGAGGTGCTAACCTGGGAAGAATTGGTGTGATCACAACAGAGAAAGACATCCCGGGTCTTTTGATGTGGTTCACGTGAAAGATGCCAATGGCAACAGCTTTGCCACTCACCTCTCCAACATTTTCGTTATTGGCAAAGGCAACAAACCATGGATTTCTCTTCCTCGAGGAAAAGGTATCCGCCTCACCATTGCTGAAGAGAGGGATAAGAGACTGGCAGCCAAACAGAGCAGTGGGTGAAATGGTCTCCATGTAACATAATAACATGTTAAAAAGTTATTTGTACTTAATTAAAGATATTACAGTGTGAAAAAAAAAAAAGAAATCCCAAGTGAAATTAGAAAATATTTTTAGGTGAGTGAAACAAAAACAGCATATTAAAATTTATGAAATACAGATAAAGCAGTGCTTAGAGGAAAATTTATATAGGTAAAAACATCTAAATTAGAAAAGAAAAAAACTCAAACCATTAACCTAAGCTTAACCTTAAAAAACTAAAAAAGAAGGGCAAACTAAATCCAAAACAAGTAGAAGAAAGGAAATAATAAAGAGTAGAGTAGAAATCAAAAAAATACAAAACAAAAACAATAGAGAAATCAATAAAAGCAAAATTGTTTCTATGAAAAGTTCAATAAAATTGACTTAAATTTAGCTAGATTGACCAAGAAGTATCAAGAAAAAGACATATATTTCTACAATTAAGAATGAGTTTCCTAGATCTTTTCCAGTCATAAAAAAAAGAAAAGAAAAAAAGAATGAGTGCGGGGATAGTGTCCTGGCCCGAGGGACCTTCTGTTACTCGTGGGGTCAAGGGGGGGACCGGTGCTTGACAAGAGACTGGTGAGAGAAGGAACGAGCAAAGCAAAGGGTGTCAGTCTACTTTACTTGGATTCTTTGTAGGTTTTTTTTTTTTTTTGAGACAGAGTCTCGCTTTGTTGCCCAGGCTAGAATGAGTGCCATGGCGTCAGCCTAGCTCACAGCACCTCAAACTCCTGGCTCAAGCAATCCTCCTGCTCAGCCTCCCGAGTAGCTGGGACTACAGGCATGCGCCACCATGCCCGGCTAATTTTTTCTATATATATTAGTTGGCCAATTAATTTGTTTCCATTTATAGTAGAGACGGGGTCTCACTCTTGCTCAGGGTGGTTTCGAACACCTGACCTTGAGCAATCCGCCCGCCTCGGCCTCCCAGAGTGCTAGGATTACAGGCGTGAGCCACCGCGCCCGGCCTCTTTGTAGGTTTTATAAGCATACAGAAACAAGGAAGTAGAAACAGAAAAATAGAGTGGGGTGACGATGAGCTAGGGTTGTCTGGGCGATCAGCCCCAATCAGCGTCTTATCGGTATCGAAGCTGTTTGTGACTGATTACCAACCCCAACCTGGCAGGTGTCGGGAACAATTGCAGTCAGCACTCCCCGCTTGGAGCATTCCGTGTCAGCACTCATGAATGCATTCTCTCGGAGCTATAGCTGGATTTTCCAGGGCGAAGCCCGTGCACTAGAACGAGTCATAGGGGGAGTTGAGGGTCTTTGAGGGTCCTTGCCTCTAACATCTCCCCCTCTCTTTATTAATATGAGGAGATTTATATAGGTGGGTGGAGAGCTGTTCCTTAGGCTACGCGATGGCTTCAGCGACCAGCACCCAAATATAGATTGGGCGATTAACGTGAAGGTGACCTCTGTCTTAGGCTATGTAGGTGGCATCCAGCTCCGGCACTTCTGATTATGAAGTGTGCCCCGCGGCATGGACCTACAATATTCCCGTCATGAGTCACTTCACGTCGGCGGGTGCATCTGGTACACGGCACTCGCGATAATCCCGTCCATGGGCGTCTCCACAGCCTTTGGAACCAACTGCGTTCCATGTCTGAGGCGAGGTCTGAGAAATTTAGACCTTTAGTGGGTGTATTGGAGACTCTTCATGAGTCTTCTCTGGACCTCTTTGTTCTAGCCGTTGGTAAAACACGGAGACCGATTTTTGTGTGGCTGCATCTACCTGTGACTTGACAAAATTAGTTAGTTTCTTAAATGCCCAAGGCCCAAAGGTGACCGAGCAACAGAAAACCTACAAGCGGCCCTAAGACACTGGAAGCAATGTGGATGCCCAGGGGGATGTGGAAAAACAATTTTGATACCACGCTTCACTCTGTTTTGTTCGTTTTTTTCTATCTTCTTAGGCTCTGTCTAACCCTTTCAATGCTATCTTCTACCAGACCTGCTTTGTCTGCGTAGAAGCAACATTCTTCTTTAAGTGCTGCGCACAACCTCCTCTTGGAGGAACACTAAGTCTAGCCTCTTCTATTTTGTAACACTACCTTCAGAAAGTGAAGCGAGGGATTCTTTGAGATATTTTAGGCCTGCTGTAGCTCTCGGAGATCATTATCGATGGCAGCAGAGAGCTGCAGGTATTGCTGGTTGGAGGTGACTAGAGAGGCTATGCCTGTTCCAGCCCCTGTGGCACCAAGGCTAAACAACTGCGAGTGTTATGCGTGATGGCTCTTCTCTTTTCTCGGGCTTGTGTGCCGCGCTCCCAAAATTAGCAATTCGTCAGCAAGACGTATAGTGATCCTGGGGAAGACCATGACTAACACACAATATTATCATGCTCAAGAAACGTTGCAGTGACTACATACGGGGTAAGCGGAAGAACAAGCAAAATAAGAGGTGTTAGATGCCTGAATATACTGAAAGGTGGAGTCGACAGTAATTGACCGATTGCATATTTCCTTTAAGGGTGCGGGGGGAAGCATTGTTGGCTAAGAAGCAAACCTAGGCTGTGTGATTTGGCTGAGTGTCAGGCCATCATGGGTCTCTAGGCCCCATGATTTTGCTGGTGTCGTTAGTAAATAATGGTTTACAAATGTAGTGACACCTTATAGATAGGAGGCCGGGGGGATAGATACCCAACACTCTTGATATTCACTTGTTGGGCCTCTCGGATGGTCCTGACAGAGGCGTTGACTAGGGTGAGAATTAGTTCTGCAGAGGAGGGGGGCCCCTCGGGCAGGGTAGGTTTGGTATAGGGAGGTGCTAAGCGGAAAAGGGGACACAGCTGGGAGGAGGGTAGCCCTAGGACACGCAGGTCGAGGTGGGTGTAGGTTGTGATTAGGACCTATTGCGCACTGTAGAGCCTCTGGGAGGCGCTTTTACATTAATTTGATTTTAAATGTGCAGGACCAATGTCTTTCTCAGATATGTGAAAGTCTAAGCCCCACCAAAGGTTCCCTGACTCGCAAGAAGCCTTTTTTCCAGCTTCAGTGAATGAAATTAACAGGGGGTTGCACCACTGATTGTTACACTGAGGGTCAGTGGGCGGTTGTGGGGCATAAGGGGACAAAGGGGCTTGACGGGGAAACCGCTTTCTGACGGTGATATAATCCCAGGAAGAGGAGGGATTCTAGTAGGCATCACCAGTGGTCTCACAGCCCCAGGAAGCCAAAAGAAGTCAGGGGCGTAACCACATTGGTAGTTGTTGGCGCGAGGTCGATGGGCCCCCGGGCAAACATAGATGTCTTTATATCTTGTCGTAGAGCGTCCGGCTCCCGAGGAGCAAAAGCCTGGGGAGGAGTCAGCCGTTGGAGGAGCTGGCTGAGGGGCGTAAAGTGCGGGAAGGCCCCACGCAGGATCTTTAGCCCCAAGAGCTAATACGCATAGGTCGACTTCTAATGGATCCCATGGTATAACGGCGGAGAGATGTGAGGAGGAATTAACAACGTCTCCTGCCTCATTAATTACCT